AAAAAGTTACCTTTTTTTGGGGCCCTCCTGGTGGCACATCAGGTTAAAGTTCAGCACTATGAAGCATCTGTGGTCACCGCAGCACAAGTTCCATCCCCAGCCAGGGATCTGACCCACTTGGCACAGTAGACCTCTCCTGTCTCAACCTCTGCTCCCCTCAGCAGTATGCTTCAGTACAACTTCCTGTTCTCTCAGCTCTGACTCTGATGAATCACCTTACCGCCCTGGCCCATCCCATCCCCCACACCTCTTGCTTGTAACCCAGTCCTTGTATGCATAAAAACATAAGTTACCTTTCAGAGATTGGCTGCTGGTTGCTTCTTTCTATGGAGGTCAGCTACCGATCATTCTTTCTTCACCAAAGATCAAGAACACAGTTTTTTCTATCTGTAGAGGCCAGGAATTGTCTTTTTTTTTTTTTTCTTTTGAGCCAGGAAGAGAGTATCTTCAGTCGAGACCTATCCTGCCATAAATCTTATTTCAGGGCCCCCATATTTATTGCTGCACCCCCAAGTTTATTGCTGCTTTATTTACAATAGGGAAGGCATGGAATCAACCCAATGCCCAAAAGCAGATGACTGGAAAAAAGATGTGGTATATATATGCAATGGAATATTACTCAGCAGTCAAAAAAATAAACACATGTCTTTTGCAGCAACATGGAGCTGGAAGGGATTATGCTTAGTGAAATAAGCCAGAAAGTAAAAGAAAAATACTGGATGGTTTCACTCATAGAAGGAGCATAAAGGACGAGGGGAGAAAAATAATAATAAAGAACTATATACCAGAGACATTTAACAGGGGTGGGATGGGTAATGGGATCAAAAACAGGAAGGCTGGGGGAAGTACACTGACTATGATAATGGCATACGGGTCATTTGGTGACGGGAAACCCATAGAGATTACAACTGAGATGGAAAAAGGTACAAATGATGTAAAAATAAAGTATATTGTTAAAAAAAAAAAAAAGGTATGTGGGCAGAAGCTGAGAAGGCTGGACTGAATGCACCTACGCAATAGCTGTGTCCTAGACCACATCCCTCTCCACCATATCAGGGAACTGAGCATGTCAAATGTGCGCCAAGAACATTGCCCCTCAAAGAGACTTAAGATTTGAGTTAGGAGTCTAGAGTTTGCTGGAGTTTGTGCAGGTAGGATGTGAAGATACATTTTTGGTGTAGTAGAACAAAGATGCAAATGTAGGAGCAACAATGCACGAGCCAGCACTGTTGCCAGATTTCTGCAAAAGAGAATGTACTTTCACGTCTGTCCACTAAGCTTGAGGCGAGGTGCCAGTGTGTGAGAATGCATCAGAGATGTGTGTCTGGAACTTACAGGAAAGTAAGTTGGGCTGAAGATGAACATTGGAATCAACTCAAACAATGGCAATGTGTGATCTGACCTGGACACAAGTTAGGTAAAAATCTACAGAAAAGATTAAGGATTGGAACCAATGAGAAAAACAAAAGATGGAACAAGAAGAAAAAGTAATAAGCGAAATAACCAATGTGCAAGTAGGTTCTATCAGGTGCCACAGAGCTCAGATTCAGGTGCATGCTTATGTAGACCTGTAATTGGAAAGGAGAATGTTGGTGGTGAATGACGAATAAGAGGTGGGGTTACGTGGGGAAAGACTAGCCTGGACTGAGAAAGCTGGGCTGCAACCCTAACTCTTTCATTCTAACTTCAGTAAAATTGTCACTAGGCCTGATCCCCAGTTCCAGTTGGCTCTTGTTCTATTTTCATGTGGCTTTTCCTATAGGAACACCTCATCTTTGGGCTGCTTACCCCATGAATCACTTCTTGAAGATAGTGGTGTCTGGATCTTTTCAAGGGAAGCAGTGGCCTTGATCTGAACTCTGGGCTGCAGAGAGGTGGGGTCCAGAGGGGGAGATGCATGGTTATAGAACTCCACATGGGTTATAGAATTTAATTTTTTCATAATACACTTTAGTCAACTCCATATTCCTTTGCTCAGAACTTGCCAGCCAATATTATTTAATTTCTTTGCTCTCTATCCTGCTACCCAAATGCTATAGCCTTTCCTATCTTTTTTAATCAGGAAGACATGAGAGAGTGTGCTATATTCCCCATTCTTTAGTCAATGAATACATTTATTTTTATTGCTGTACAGTGACACGAGCTATGCAACCTCTGTCGTCAGACATGTTCCGGATGGAGGGGAATTGCTCTGAAAAATCAGACTTTCCATGCTAACCTATGTTATGACCTCTCTTTTTTGTATAACCGTAATATCAAAATATTCTGAGCAACTTTCAGCTTACAATTGGACTGCCTCAGCCGCACAAGGCCTGCCTGCCTTTACAAGCAAGCACTGCACCAGGGTGAAAAAATTCCCCTGAACTCAAGTGACTTGACTACTGACTGATAAAAACAAAAGGGCTGTTTTTGCAAAGTCTCTCTCACTGCCAGATGGAGGATAACCCAAATCTTATCATTCTATCATCTCACCTAGCCTTCTACTCAGCCTTTTTAAAGAATTACTCAAACTTCCTATTGTTTGGCCTTTAGATGTGGAAATTCATCCAGGTTGCCTGTTTTTTAAACTAATCAAGTTTTCCACAAGAAAGAAATCAAGGAATCCACAAAAGTCTCCTGGCTAGTTTTGCAGGATTCCACTATGTAGTCTTTAAATAAGAAAATTCACCTATGTCTCCTATTCAGAGATTTGATTAGCAAGGAATTTCCTCTTTCTGTCTCCCAGATGATTCAGGCAGAACAACAAAAACCCATTAAGTAGTAGATAAGGTTTAAGGGACTTCTTAGTTGATCTCCACTATAGTAATATTAGTCATAAACTTTGTGCACTTATGTACCTGTTTTTAACCTTAATTGATTTTGGAATGTTATATCTCAGCTAAAGGGCAATACGACCCTAAACTGTTCTTAGAAAAAAAGATGATTGTAATCTCTCAGCCCAGTTCGTGTGCTGATGTCATCCCACTGCTTGCTCGTAATGTATAAAATAAACCTCTGCTGAAGGCAGAGCAGGAAGATTTGCACCCAACTCCAACTCCCTTGTCTTCCTCACCCCCCTTTCCCCTTTTTTCTCCCTTTCCCCTTTTTTAGGAAGGTGTCTCTACTCGCCGACACCTTCCCACCTTAGGGTCCTGCCTGTCTTGCCTCCAGACACCTCAATAGTTGGAGCTGGTCTTCGACAGTACAGAATTTGACTATGCAACTTCTGGATATTCTGGCCTGCAGAGAGTGTACAGAACAGAGGGCAGTATTATGAAATCACCAAACATCTCCAGGACTCAGTTGACAAATTTTCAAAATAAGATTTAGGTGAAATGATTTCCAAAGATTCTGCCATTTCAGATCAAAAGAAAAGAATTAAATTTCAAAATGTAAGGAAAAGAATGAGTGCACAATTTCGATTCATTGATTCATTCAATAGGTATTATGGATGAGTCACTAATTATGTCTGTCTGTGCATACATTGTAGTGTAGGGAAAAACCCATCTCCAGTCTAAAGTTAGAGAATTTAAGCGATGCTCACAGATAACTTCAAAGTAGAAACTTCATGTCATGAAAAAGAATTTGATTCTGAAACCTTTAAAAAAAAGTGAGAGAAGTGGTTTCCAACCTGCTGAATGGGGGGAATAGTGAGGACTGTGGAAAGAGCAGTTGAAGAACTCTCAGAGGCTTTCCACAGTAGACCATGGACAAATTAAGCTGAAAAGCAGTTCACTAGTGAGAATAGTCCTGTTGGAATCACTATGTTAAGAAAGGCAGACTGGTCTGGTAGTCAGTTTAAGAATACAAGTGCCAAGCAAGGCCCAACTCAACTTCTAGTTGTACCATTTACTAATTGCATGATCTTGGGCAAAGCTCAAAGTTTCAGTTCCTGCCTTTGTAAAATAAAGGCACAATTTGTACTAGCTCACAATGTTGCTATAGAGAATATATGAAGTGAATGATCTGGGCGTTATACCAAGTGCTTGATAAATGCCAGCTATTGTTCTTTTTCTAAAGAGAAAATGGCAGAGCATCTTTTCCTGGCGTTGAGAGGCCCCATTATGGACACTGAACTAGATTGTGAGACCTAGACTCAATTTCTGGTTTTGTATTTAGTTGCTTTCCTCTGTGGACTGGCTCTTCAATTCTTTTCAGGCCCTTTTCATCTCTGCCTGAGCATTCATTTCCTGCTTACAGTGAACTTATAGATCAGTCAGTGAACATTCAGAGACTTCTCAGTTATTTACTGAACACTTGAGGCTTTCAAAATCCTTCAGTATACATGATCACTTCAGAACTTCCAAAAGAATCCTTCCTGAAGGAGCTCCCTCCCTAGTTTTGCCTATGTCACTAGGCAGGCTCTTGCACATCTCAAGTGTAATCTGTGCTTTAGGTGACTGCAGACCTTTTCTGATCATATCACGTTTCCAAGTCATGCCCACCATTTTTCTACCCTTACTTGCAGTTAGATAAAACAGAGGGTCAGCACCTTACATTCATCCTTCAAGTTGTTCCTACAGAGGCTAGTAAAATAGACATAAATGTCTGCTCTATTCTTTCCAGAACCAAGGGGCAGGTCCCACAATGGCACAGGGGCTGTTTACAAGATCGCTACAGATCCAAGAGGGGACATTACAAAATCAGTCTACTATTTAGTTGTCTCTCTCTTGACTCAGAATTCAGTAGATTGTTTTCCAGCATTTGACAAAGTTGATTTTGACAGCTTCTGGTCATTTCCCCCCTAAGTTTCTTATTAAGAGACAACGGCTTGGAGCTACTTGTCACTTTGCTGTCATCACTTCAGCAGTTACTTAGACAAGTCAAACTTTCTGCTATTTTTTTCTTAAATAACACTTCTCAGAAAATGCCTATATGAGTCAATGAGGAAATGTGTAAGACTTTTACAAAATATGGTGATAGGACACCTTATCTTAGATGTTTCTTGTGAACAATATCAGTTACTTCAAGGTTTATTAAATGATTAGTAAATAATAATTTACAGGTACATTTTTCTTGGACTTCTAAGAAAATTACTTTTTCCACCAGATTGTGTTGTCTAGCATCACTAAGAGAAACATACTAGTTTTATTTCAGCATTTTATTAGACCTTTTCATAGCACAGTTTACTGAAAACATTTGAAATACTGAGACAAAAAGAACTTTTAAAAAAAAAAACACACACACACTAAGACAAAACACCTCTTCCAGCTGAGGTAATATTTATAAGATTCATGGTCAAATCACAAGTTTTTGCTACGATGTGATACAATTTGGTACTATCAGTGATGCTCAATAACTAAAAAGATATCACATTTCCAGCTTATATTAGAAGATTAAGAGAAATATGCATCTATTTGAGAGAGCAGAAATGCCACAGTTAACTATCACTCAAATTCTATTGCAAAGTGAATTGTCAGGTGATTTCACTTCCAAATATATTACTGAAAATAATTCAGACTTGGCAACCTTTTCAAAAGCCTGCAGAGTAAGCAAATTAAGAGCAAATATCCTCTACAATCTTAGCTGGAAAAAAATATATAGCAGCACATTTTATTTTCTGAACACATGTATGAACCTACAGTAGTACCAAAGCCAGTGCTAAAGGCAGCTCTGAGTAGTCAAGCGCATATGCACAAGCAAGCTCGGCCTGCACCTCTCCAGGTTTGTTTTTAGAAATGCTGGCTGGTATCAAATTCCCAGCCCATGAGCATCTTGAAACTGGTTTCTTTTTCAATCTTCAACTGTCATATTTATACATCTAGTGCTGGTTGAAGCCTTGAATAATTTTATGAGTCTGCAAAATAGAGAATGGTATCTTGGTCAAGATGTATATACAGTTTCGGTGAATCAATAAATAAATTAATATACTAAGCTAAAATTTACCTGGCTTTTCAGTTTTTAATTCTATTCTTCTCAAACTATTTAACTCAAATCAAGAAACCCTACAACATAAGGCAAACACCTCACACTTCAGCAGCATAGCCAAAACTAGGCTTATGTAATTGGGATTTTAGACTTTTGAAACATCTTATCCACAACCTATTAGAGATACTAAATTTAAAAAAAAACAAAACAAAACAAATGTGAATGTGAAATGTAGTCCAAAATTATTTGATTTTGTAACCTATGTGCTAAGGAAATAATGGAATTTTAGAAAAGGAGAATATGTCTAATATTCATCTTACTTGCTCCATTCGAAATTCAGTTAAAGTATTTGGCTGTTATTTACATGCTTGAGGTTTTATATATTTTTTTATATTTCAACTAATTTGGAAAATAAAAAATTTGTATTTTACTTGCCACTTTTCGATTTTTGTTTTAATGTGAATTTGTATTCTTACTCTAGTGATAAAAAAATAAGATACACTTTATTTGCATGATATTTAGACTGTCAATTTTATGATCCCATAATGAAAGAGGTTTATATAACTAAATATCCTGATATATCTAATTTTTAGCTAAGGGGTCATATAGGCTTTCACTCAGAAATACTAAATTCCATTCAGAGCCTGTTTCAGTGTTTTCTGAGCTTGGTATTTTATGAAATGTACACCTATCTGAAACCATCTTATTTGACTATAATACAAAATAAAAAGTGTTTAGGAAGCTGGACATACCAAGAACACAAAAAATTACTTAGCCATTCAAAAGAAAATGACATAGGTTGGACAAGGTACATTATAAAACATTAATCATAAAATACATGTGATCAGTGTTATTTTTCATTTTCATCTTGGTAGAATTTAAAGTGAAAACTCATGTGTTTTAGTATTAAAAAACACATAGACATTTTAGTGTATATTGTTTCTTAGTTTTGGCTGTTATATATTGTTTCCAATACTATTCATCATTACAAAGTAATCATTTCTCTGGCAATTAGCAAAAAAGAAACCTGTGTGTATGCATTCTAGGTTGGAAAACATTGGCTCTGAGTCATTGTGTCAGTGTTTTGAATGAAAGCTATAAAACTGGCATATCATTCACATTTTAATAATGATGCACCAGTCAAATGTGTTGATCACTTACTATACAAAAAGTCTTCCCACCAAATTCAATTTAGGGACAGCATTTTTATTAAACTGGTTAATATTTTTTTATTTGTTGAAACTTACTTCTTTTGCTGATCTGTAAGAAACAAGAATACACCTTCTGTAAGCTTGTAATTTTTATCAGTATTCATCCAAATGTTTAAAAACAAAGTACTGAGGACAAATCTACTTCCCCTTTATGTATATCAAGCTTGGAGAATAAAAATTTTAAACAAAATATGGAAGAAAATGAAAACTGAAGCCATTATTTAATGATGCCTGTACAGAAGAGAGACAGACTCCCAGGTGGGTTTTTACTGTGTCTCCTCTAAGAAAAGTCATCCAGAGATGAAAAGCAAGTGACATTCCTTCTAGTACATAATTTGTACACATGGTGATACCAAGTTAGTTATCATGATTATTTTATATTCTTTTTTATGAGTGGCTCTAAAAATAGCCTGATGCTTTATAAACTAGATAAGCAAAACAAGTATTAATTGTATGACAAATTTTAAGTTACTTGCACTGAAATGCTAGGTTTGTTGTTTGCCTTAAATCTTACAAGTACCTTGACTTTTAATGCTTATTCTGATATTCCAGCAGAATATCACTTTAGGCAATAAGAGTGGAAAATTTATACAGAAAGAAATTCAAAGAAATTCCAAGTAATTTGTGTATACATAATAATTGTATATAGTAGATGTAAAACCATTAAAAATAATTCTATATAGACCATGTAATTTAAAACTCTTCAATTCTTGTTTACAGATTACCAGATGTAATCCTCAAATATTTATCATTGCAGATGTATTTATTTACTTAAAGGGAAACTATGACCTTCTAATTTTACACACTACATTAAAGATGACATAGTCATATCAGTTGAAAAGGTGAAATAAACATGTAAAATAAATGGAATAAATTCAGTTCTATGAAATTTTGTTTGATGACAAATTTTTGCTTCTGCTCAGAATAATTTTTAGTTCAGTACAAGTGATATAACAGTAAGAATTTATGTGAGCTTTACTTTTACTGCATTTGTCCAAAATATATACCTATGCGTGGAAAAAAAATGAAGTCAATATAAGCATGGATAGGTTTTTCTTTTTTTAACCAGTTTCACTTTCTAATCCTTACCCCCCACCCACCCCACCTTATTTTACTTTTATCTCTCATAATTTCAATACAAAGTATCCAGATTATGTCTTTTAGACCAACCAGGAGCCAAAATCTCAAATGCTATTTTGAAGAAGGGTAGAGTAAATAATTTTTGTAATTTGTAAAACAGCTGCATGCAGTGTATACTGTATTATAACAGCACCGAACCCTTTATAAAAACCAAATACTCCTTCCTCCTGCCTTATGGTATTAACACAGTCTCTCATTCCCTCATACTGTGTATTAATTGGAAGCACTTCATAGCCAAGGTCTGTATTGTCAATTATTGTGCGTGTTCCTTGAATGTGAAGGCGGTGCAAAACTGTTTCCAGTGGGTAAAGTATAACATCAGAGCAAAGACTAGCAGCAAAGTTAGCAATAAGTTCTGGAAAATAAGCATCCAGCATATTCTGCACCGGGCTAGTATTTTCAGTTAAGTGGCTATTATAAGTCTTTCGCTTTAGAATTAGTAGAACAAACTTCTGAACAATTGAGCTAATGATGTAATGAAGAACCCCATGCAGCACGGTAGGGAACACCAAGGAAAGAAGTGGAAGTAGTCGTTTGCTATGAGGCACTCCCAAACCCATCACTCTTCCAATTCCTTCTTTAACACATTCCAAAATTCCAGTATTATCTCGAATGATCTCACTCTGAAATAAAAGTGATACAAAAAATTAATTTTCTTCTTTTACCACGAACAAGGACACTTTTTTCCATTCTATTTTTATTAGGTAACATTGGTTTCCACACCAAACATGAATCACAGGCATAGGTTTATACCCGTTCAGGGGTATGTTACCACACTACCAAGGCACCTGACTAAAGAGGGAAAGGATCGAGGGTTTGTAGATTTTAAATGCTAGCTAGGCATTAGCTTTTGTTTGTATTTTTACCCCATGTGTAATCTGTTAAGAAAAGGCAGCAGTGCCGCTGGGAGCTATTCTACTGGGGAAGGGAAACTGGAGAGGAGAGATGGGGGTACACACCTGGTTTTCTTACCTTTGAGAAGTTCCTCAGAGCTCATTTTATAAATCAAAACTAGATGATACCCAAAGAGGCTAGTGTTTATATAGAGTTCTCAAGCATGGGTCGCAACCCTGCCTCCGTCACTTACTGGCCACGTGACCTAGCGCAAATTATTATACTTTCCTAGGAGTTCAGGTTATCATCTAAAAACAGTAAGTACCATCTAACTTTCATGCAGTTGCTGGAAATAGTAAATGAAACGAGTTCTTATACCGAGGGCGCAATTAAGAAATGTTAGTCATTATCACCTAAAATGTCTCTGCTATTTCAGATTTGGAGGATATGTATAACAAAGCTTGCCATACAGATTACAGAAGGAAGGAGAAGCTGCAAAGGAATAGCCAAAGCCTTTGCTCTAACAACAAATGCAGAAGAGAACACCAACGAATGATGCTAACAAGTTAGTAGGCGCCATACCATGCCATTGTGTAGACATTGACTTCTCGTCAGAGGGAAATAAGGAGGTGGTGTTAAGCAGAAGATGGGCACGATATGTCTATGTTTACAATACCACTGGCTTTTGTACAGAGTATTGCATAATCCAAAAAAGATCTTGGACTGGGCTAGCAGGTAGCAAAGGCAGTAAAGTGCTTCACCTGTGCTTATATTCTAAAATTACAGTCAGTGGGACTGATTTATTGGTGGGAGGATTTGGAGTACTGGAAGGATGACTGAGAGGCTGCTAGCCAGAGGATACAATGGAAGAGCAATGCCTTTTATGGAGTTGGAAAACATTGCTGAAGCAGCAATTTGAGAGAGAAGAACAAAAGGTCCCAAATGGAGTTCACAACTTAGATTGCAAGATTGTAAGTTGTATGTATTATAAATGTTCTCATAAACATTATATTTAAAACCACTAGGCTTGTATAAGCTCACCTAACCTACTAATCCATTTCCCTTTCTGACCAGTGACCCCTTCCCATTCCTGTCTATCTTTAAAACATAGCAGCCAAAGAGATCATAATAAAGACATAAGCCAGACTGCATTACAAACCCATCAAATACTTTCCAGACCCTGAAAGCAAAGGTCAAGTGATTCCAATGTTCCCCAACAGTCTATGTGATCTGACCTTACCTTACCTCGGGGATATCACCTTTTCTTGTTCTCCCCCTTGCTCACATACCTCCAACTATATGAGCTTCTATTTTGCTCCTCCCACTGAAGAACCTGTGTGTTTGCTTTCCCTCACAGAATGTTCTTCTTACAAATACTTACCGAATCTTATCCTCTGATCTTTATTCAAATGTCATCTTCTCAATGAAGACTTTAATTTTCAAAAAATAGTAGCCACCTTTTCTTTTCCAATACACAGTTTTTAAATTAACTGTGTTCCCTTGAGCTTTTAGTATCGTTTTGTATACTTTATAAAGTGGTTTATGCTTTGTTTCTAACTCTCTACCCCACAAGAGCATCAGAGCAGTAACAACAGAGTATTTTTGTCTGTTTTGTTTGCTGCTCTATGTCCTGGGTCTACAAATAATGCCTGATATAGGGATTATTTTATAGGCCGATACTCAATAAATACTTAATGAATTACAAGAAATTTAGCAGTCAAGAAAATTAACTGAATAGGTAAAGTGAAGTTAATAAAAATCTTAACACTAAGCTGGTAAGTCTGAAACTGATGGTAGGGAATATGAGTTAACATGGATCCTTAACCAGGAAAAGGTAGAAGCACTGTAATTTCAAACACTATCCTTACAAAAGTAGCAGAAAGGCCTTTAGAATGTAGGAGTCAAGACTTAGAATGCAGAGGCCAAAGTAAGGATTCTTAAGACAATGGATCACAAGAAAGTTCTTACTCAAGGGCTTCAGAAGTTGTTCTTCCAGAGATTAAGTTAACAAAAGCATATTTTTCAAGGGAAAAAAAAAATGTTCTCAAAGAGATCTGGGATTCCCAAAAGGGCAAAGGTCACTGAACATGACTTTGGAGGAGGCTACTGTAGCAAGCTGAGTATGTGGCAAAGCAAAGATGAGTGGTTGTCCAACATTGGGGAGGAATAGAGTAATCTTAGATACTTATTAGTGGAGTTAGAAGTAAGAAGATATGATTGATTAGGAAGTATGAGAGAAATATAAAAATCTCCACCAAAAACTAAAACTAAAGCTTTGAGTCTTTAGGGTGAAAATAACAATATTACTGTTGTAGAAAGACAAGCAGTTCTAAAGGAAGTTAATTTTCAGGGGAAAAATTAAGATGGTTTTAGTACTATAGTTGGGTTTGAAATGAAGTTGATTTAACAAGTTAAAAATTATAGTAAAATAATCCATGAGTATAAACATGTGCTCTAGGTCTCATTTGTGAATACAGGACAAAAAAAAAAAAAAAAAAAAAAGCAGTTACTAAAAGAAGATGAATATAAATCTAATAAGGTGCAAGAGTTCAAGCTAATCAGACAAAAGGAATTATTAAAAAGGCGGGATTTAACAAGTAAAACCTGGAGTTCTAGGAAAAAGAGGCCACAATAGACTTAAAAATTAAGTTAGGGCCCTCCCTGGTGGTGCAGCGGGTTAAAGCACAGAACTGAGAATCTAAAGCCATTTCTGCATGAGTTCGATTCCGCCTGCCCCTGAGGTGACCACATGGCGTGGCAAACCTCTCCTGGCCTGCCCGCTGCTCCCCTCAGCAGTGTCGATCTGCCTGTTCTGTTCCCCACTCTGTCTCTGGTAAAGCCTCTCACCACCCCTGAGCCTCTGGCCTGTAACCCAGTTCTGTATGCACAAATAAATACATCTTTAAAAAAAAAAATTAAGTGAGCTGGGCATTTAATTTAATCATTAATTAAATTTAATCATTAATTAAAATTTTATGAATGAGCAAATTAAATTGTGGGAAGATTAAGAAATTTGGTTAAAGACACATGTTGAATTTAATTAGAGAAATGTGATTGTGATATTCTGTTTAATGCTAAAATTTGCTTCCCTCCAATATATCTTGGTGCTTAGTTATTTTTCCTTTAAATAATTATCTTCCTCCTTCCCTTCTTTATCTACAAAATAAAGATAACTCAAATAGTAAACTGTATAAATTATAGCCTCACTTAAAGGTCATATTTTTTATTTATCATAATAAATATAAGAATAAAGTGTATTTAGGTAATAAGGTATTAACATCAGAGTTAATACTAACAAAAATTTTTAAAAATTAGAAGCCAGTGGTGGAGTCAGAAAAGCAGCTAAATGAAAAAAGTAATTGGAAGAGGAAACCCTGATGAAGATTTCAATAAAGAGGGATCGCATATATAGTAAAGACCAAAAATATTCTGGTGGATCTCATATTAGAGACTGAAGATAGGTTTTACACAATCAGTTGAATTTCATGAACAGACAGAATTAAAACTATCTTCATCACTATCTTCAGTTTTAGGTGGAGTAATAGTAATGTGGCAAGAAAGTACATTAGTTAAATGTACTACAAGCGCCACCATGTGGCTGGAAATAGCAAAATAATTTAAACTGTTAGCAGGAGATGGCTTTAGCTTTGCAGTCCCTACAACACTATGGTATCAAATCTAAACTTGCATCCGTTTGTCCAATATAGAGTTTTAAATTACTTAAGGAGGAATAATTAAACAAGAAATTTTAATAAGGTGATTTCTTATGCAGGTGCTTGATTTTTTAATGTGAAATAGTTGATGAATTTCTGTACATTTAACTTGGATTCTTAAACTTTAGCTTCTCATAAAAACCTATGATGGAAAAAAAAGGGGGGGATATTTAAAAAACACGCTCTTAGTAACATACCTATGGGAAATATCTGCTCTCTTTTATAACTATCATGCATTATGCTCAGGTAATTTATTATGATAAGTGGTAACTATTTTTGTCTTATATAAAGGTTTTAAAAAGTTGAAAAAAAATTTTTATATTTAAAGAAAGTCATAGGCTGGTTCTGAGATATCTGAGATATATTAATGAAGAGTATAGCTGTGTATGAAAGGGATAAATATAAAACTAGAAGAGTGAGGTACGTTCCCAAAGGAAATGTACATACCAGCAATGCTTCTAGTAGAGTACAGAATTTTTGATATGTGTGGTGTCTTGTCTGTGAAATAACAATTTTAAACAAACCCAAATCTTAAATTTGTCTGTTCATCAACCATACACACACAAAATACAGTACACATTTAAAAAATATTTTTAACTAAAAAATAACAATTAAAAATAGCTCACCTGCACTGTTTCAATTAGACTTGCTGAATAAAAAGGCATTGCCACCATATAAGTCAGGCTGCAGAAATTAAAACAAACTTATGAGTATGCTCATATTAAATTTTTTAATATTTACTTTAATATATCAACATACTTTATATTCACATTTGAATGACATTTTAAAGTTTTTTATCTATAGCCTAAAAAAATTTATTTCAGAGTCTTCAACAATTAAAAATGAAAAATTAAGTATTAGCAATAATACAAGGACAGCCTGCAAATATATATATATATATATATATATATATTATCTAAACTAGTAAAACAGAGGCTCATTTATGATTCACTATTTGGATATCTACCTGCATAATAGCTCATGTAGCCTATAAATCTGATACTTGAAATTTAGGAAGAAAATTTAAATTAGGGATCCAAAGCTTGCCTTTCTGGTGATCTATGAACAAGGACATTGTTCCACTATTATCCTATCTATTCTTGTTATCCATTCCCGATTTCCCACCCTGCTAGGCTAATCCAGTCTTCAAGTGAGTGAAGTTCCCTTGTATTGTTAAAAAAAAACAATATTGTACAGCTTTGCAAAGTTGTGTCCTATCATAATATAGTCAGATATAGTAGCATTACAACTTTGCAAGCCTGCAAAATATAGTTATTTAAAATGATATCAAGGTGGGACTTACCTAACCCTACGGGCCAGGTCCTGGCAAGTAGTGGTTTTCAAGATGAAGGGAACATCACTAAGTAATAATATGGCTGGAATGTCCCACAGTGGGAGCCAGCAAGCTGGGGGGTTTCCAATTCACAATCTTCAAAAAAAATTAAAAAGTGAAGAGTAAAATTCTAATCTACAAAAATGGCCAGAGTTGCAAAATCACTAAATGTCTTTAAGACTGCATTTTAATGACACTAAGGTTTTGAATTTGCTTATTGTTGTACAAATCTCTGCTTAATAAAATAATAATATTTATGGCAATTTGGGTTAAACAAGTTGAAAACCTTTGCTATCTTCCTAAGAACACATAGAAAAATTAGGTTGTGACTGCATTTCAGCTTCAAATCAGAAAGATTTATTTTAAAGATAATGTTTATTTCAGGATTTTTCTTAAACTCAGTGTTATTTCTCTTTTGAAATTCTAATCCCACAGATATTTCATTGTTTTAATTGCCTTCATTGTATCTATTTAATATATTTTTTTAGTTCTGAGGCTATAAAAATTAATGGAAATTTTTAATACATACACCACTTTTGATACTTACGATTTCAACAGAAGGTGTTCTCCTATTTGTTTGGGACTCCATTTATGTGAAACCTCCCTAAAAATAAGTAAAAAGTTAATTAAAATAAGTCATAATACTTAAAACATTTTGAATTAGCCCAATTTTCAAAAAGGCAATATTGAACATTAAACTTTTTAGCATTAAACTTTTAACATTAAACTTTTTATATTTCTTTAGAAGAAATATATTCTAATGGTGAACATTTTCCTTTCTGGAATACAATTTGAAAACCTGAGGAAGCATATACAGTTGCTTTGTATGTGCTAATAGAAGGGACTAACAGTTACAAATTATAACTGATTATAAAAATGAACATGAGAAATTAAGGGAGGAGAAACAAAAATGATGGGTTGAGAAAGAATGAATGATGGAGAGAAAGCAAAATAAGGAATAAGATGAAGGAATTAAACAGTTTTAAAAGGTATATAAAAATAAGGGTTAGAAAATAAAACAAAATTAGTATGACATTTGTATAGCACCTAATTTCCGAAGTACCTTTACTTATTATAAGGACATTAATTTTGTGGCCTTTATTATAGTTCCTTATATTTTTGAGCAACAACTGTATGCCAGGCACTGTCCCTGGGCTTCATGTGGATTATTTCTAATGCTCACAATGACCACATTGCCTTGTCTCATAGACAAGGAAGTAGGTTCAGAGAAGGTTCATAACTTGCCCAAAGCTATACAACCAGTTAGTGGTACAACTGGGTCCGAAGCCCTGGTCTCTGTAATGCGGAATCTGCACTCTTTGTCTGTACCTCTTCTCATCTCCCTTGATGAGAGCAGCATTCCGTAAGAAAAGCAAAGCTGGTGCTGTCACATTTGACTTACTTAGAGAAAAATGAAAGTGACAAAGATGTCAGGCATATGTTCAAAGGAGAAAGGTAAAATGCCAGGTCTGGGACTATGTACTTCCTGTTATTTAGGTTTCTTTTCCAAGCCAGAAAAAAAAGAAGGAAAAAAAAAAAAAGAGGCAAATTGAAAGAAGAACAAATTGGGAAAGATTGTTTATCAAGCATGAAATAAAAAAGCAGAAAAGAACATTGAGAGTAAAAATGACAGCAAAATAGGGGCAGAAAAATATTGAAGCAGCACTTAGAAGTGGATGGAAGGGAAAAAGGCAGACTATAAATTTCTGCTACCAGTTTACCTAAAAAAAGTAGTACCTACAGCACCAACGTCAGGTAGAACCTGAGAAAACCCGTTTCTATTTGAGCTGAGTGAATATGGTAGACATAACGAAAGAGAGCAAGAAATAAAGGAATGCATATATTAAAAAAGTGAAGAAAAGCTAATCACTAAGAACCTAAGTGCACTAAAAATAGTACAATTTTTGCTTGGGATGAGGTGTGAACTTTTCCACATTTTTCTGAATGCAGCGCCTTAGACTGCTCGGCCATCCTGACTGCAGTTTTCCACATTTTTCTAAGAAACTAAATGGTCTGCGGAAAAACTTAGAAAATGGAATAATCACCTCTGATTATAAGACCTCAGAGGGCTTCCTGGGTCATCTTCTGGCTTAACTGACAATGAAATATTATAAATGAATGAATAGCCATACATAAATATAACTGTAATGACTTAGTATAACTTGGTTCAATGACTAAGATGAAAAATATAGAAGAGATTAGGATCGCCCCCTCCCATCCTGACAGTGACTTTGTAATTATAAAACAAAATATACTGCATAGTTTGCAAATCATCTGGATGCTGCTACTAATCTTTCCATGGCCTCAGGTTACTATGGCATTGAGATAAAACATGAAACCAGGCCCTCCCTGGTGGCGCAGCGGGTTAAAGCACAGCATTAAGAAGCGAAAGCCACTTCTGCATGAGTTCGGTTCCCGCCTGCCCCGGAGGTGACCACATGGCGTGGCAGACCTCTCCTGGCCCGCCCGCTGCTTCCCTCAGCAGTGTATTTCATCGATCTGCCTGTTCTGCTCCCCACTCTATCTCTGGTGAAGCCTCTCACCGTCCCTGAGCCTCTGGCCTGTACCCCAGTTCTGTATGTACAAATAAATAAATCTTTAAAAAAAAAAAAACAAAAAAACATGAAACCATCCTAACAATATGAACAAACGGGTTTGTGGCCTGCATTTCTGTAAGGAGTGGGCCACCCTCTTGTGGAACACTGATAACTACTTCCAGTTCTTCAGATCATTAAGATTATTAAGGGAAAAGTGAAACTTCAAGTCAAGTTAAAAAAAAACTTGAGACTTGTATCAGTTTTCTACTTCTTCATAAAATGGGTAAAACTTACTGACAAGGTTCTAAAAAGTTAATATTAGTTCATTTAAATGCTTTGGGAGAAGAGCAGTATAAAAATTTACCTGTAATTAAACCTTTCTATACTTCATTGTCAAATACCAAAATATGTGCATATATATTTAACTCTATTTTCACAAGCAAAAACTGTCCTTACCATTCTCTCAATTTCAAATAGCTGCCTTCTTTAAGTAAACTTCCCTCAACCCAACTCAAACTCTTACTTCCAGCTACTTCCCTTCATCTCTTTTTGTGCCCAGCCAACTTTCTAAATTTGCTATTCCATGTCCTGATTTCCCACTCACCTCAAAACCCTCTCCAAATTGGCTGGATCCCATTCGTCTGTGAAACCATTTCTTGCCAAGGTCTCTGTGACCTCCACGTCATTAAGTCCACCAACATTTTAAAGTCTTCCCTATTTGCCTTCCCAGTAGCCACAAGGGCCTCATGTTTTTTGTCGCTTGAGGCACTCTTGGCCCCGTGTGCCAAGTGTGTCCCACACTCCTAGTCTCTCCCTCTGACTCTCCTTCAGGACATGTTTCTTAAATCAACCACATAGTTTGGACTTCTTAAAGTCTCAGGTGCTCTTTTTTTCTTAGTGTGCATCCATACCCCTTTCCTGGACAACCTTTCAACTAAGATGATCGTTTTAAAACCTCTCAAATTTATGATCTTCAGTTCAGACATCTCTAATGTCAACATTTTATATCATATGTCTACTGACAGCTGCCCTTGTATATGACAGAGCACCTGATGATGAACTTGTTCAAAGCTAAACTTCTCATTTTTCTTTCTTAGTTAAATTCTTTTAGTGTTCCCTAGTTAGGAACTGTTAATCTGAAAGGAAAACTATTGAGTAGAATAAAGATATCATTGTGTTTAGCACATAATGTATAAAGTCAGTGCTCCAATGGCATTATTAGGAGAAACAGACAACATGAGAAACTGTAAGATATTTATATAGCTACTTTGAGAAATTTACAGTGAGTCAAACTAAGTTTGAATTCAATTACACAAGTTCTGTGAGAGACTGTACTACACAGGCAGCAATGAGGACAGGTGCTCCTGATGTTAATGATCTGAGAAGAAATGCCATGTGAAAATAAGTGTGCTTCAAGACAGAGCAACACATAGTCTAGCTCATTTCACCTGGGGAAAGATCTGCGCAAGGCCTAAGCAATACATGAAGAGATTATAGATGGTGATCTTGTTTTATGTATATTTTTTAAAAGTAATAATACTGAGAAACTAAGAATGGAAACTTAACAGACACTACGGACTTAACCTCTTTTGCCTCTGATGTGATCACACTCAGTGTAATAAAATAAAATAGTGGTAAATCTATATCATTTCATCTGTTCTACCTAGTGATAGTGATCCCTGACAACTAGGTGCCTCCGGTCAGGGAACCCCTGAGTGCATGTCCCTGAGTGCATGTGTTAGCTTCTGGGAATTGCTCTGGCTTTGCTGTTTTATCTGCTGTCACTTTGCTTCCCAAGAACAAAAAGTCCACCCCACCCAAAGAAGTTAGAATGAAAAAAATGTTTAACCTTTACTATAAAAAATGACTTTGAAATCTAGTTACACAAGTTAAAATCCTAGAAGTCATTCTTGTTACCTCTACTTTTCCCACTTTAGTCCTTTAAAATGATCCAGTATTACTATAGATTTATTTTATTTAGTTGTATATCTCTTTTTTTTTTTATTGAGGTGACAGTGGTTTAGAACTCTATGGCCCTCCCTGGTGGCACAACTTAGAACTCTATGGCCCTCCCTGGTGGCACAACAGGTTAGGATGCAGCACTGCAAGCGAGCCTCAGCCGCTTCAGTGCAAGTTCCAAAACCCGTCGGGAATGGACCCATATGGCACAGCAGACCTGTCCTGACCTGCCCACTTCAGTGTACTTCATCAGTCTGCCTGTTCTGCTCCCCACTGTCTCTGGTGGTCTCTCACTGCCCCTGCACCTCTGGCTTGTATCCCAGCTCTGTATGAATAAAGAAATCTTAAAAACAAAAAACAAAACAAAAAAAAAAAACACACTGTATATGACTTAGGGTTCTATGTCCATGACCCTTTAAACATGTAAATTTAATCGTATCATTGACCCCTGCTTTGAAATTCTTAAATATTCTTGATGTGGCATACAAGGCCATAAACAGATTGGCTCCTGCTTCTTCAGCATTCTCTCACTTTGCTCTCCAGCTTGGCCTCTGGAATCCAGCCATTTGAGACTTCTCTAAGTTACCTGAATTCTCCATGTTCATTACTAAACCATCTTTATACAAAGTGGTCTATGCCTCCTAAGCATTGCTGAAGTCTTAGGTTAAATTTTATTAGAGACACTCCTTTTAATCTTAATCCTCATAGAATAACCTTCCCTTTAGCACACAAATCTAAATTTTTAACTGTTCATTCGTTGGATTACTTTACTTAGTGTATGTCCCTCATACTAGAGTCATAGCTTCATGGTTATAGGTACCTTTTGTTTTTCGGCATGGTGTAACTAATTTCTAGTGCAGGTGCTGGCACCAACAGGGTATTCAGGAAATATTGGCTAACTAGGTAAATTAGTAAGTGGAATCTGTTAGCAAAATTATCCAAGTAAATATAATAAAGATCATCATCTTTTGTGTCTTCTTTACTAAAATTCAAAATGAACAAGAGGAAATGCATTTCCATATAACCCATATGTATGTCTATAGAGTAAGAAAGTTAGATAACAAAATCTAATAAAAGTCTATGTCTTCCTAATCCCATTTCCCTTTTTTTTTTTCATTCTAATCTGCAGTTAAAAGTTACTACTTCAGGCCCTCCCTGGTGGCACAGCGGGTTAAAGCACAGCAGTGAGAATCTAAAGCCGCTTCCGCACGAGTTCGATTCCCGCCTGCCTGCCCCGGAGGTGACCACATGGCGTGGCAGACCTCTCCTGACCCGCCTGCTGCTCCCCTCCCGTCGATCTGCCTGTTCTGTTCCCCGCTCTGTCTCTGGTGAAGCCTCTCACCACCCCTGAGCCTCTGGCCTGTACCCCAGTTCTGTAAGCACAAATAAATAAAATCTTAAAAAAAAAAAAAGAAGAAGTGGTATAGTCAGAACTAGGAGTGTCTGGACTCCAAATGGACAATTCTTTACACTTTCCCAGAGTAATTTCTGTATTTTGTTATGTTTTTATAGAATTTTAGTTTTGGTGGTGGTGGGGGGGAGAATTCAAGAATATTTGACAATACTTAACCTCTGATATAAAAAGCAATAGGAAAGCAGCTAGCCAATCATAGAAAATCAGATTTTTAAGTATAAGAGGGGAAAACTTTAAGATACTCAAATCTTTTGTTTTGTTCTTAATATTTAGCAAAGCTGTACTAAAGGAACTTCAAGATTATGAGGCCCTGGGAAAGCAATCGTGTTGGCAAAAAAGCTTGGTGTCAGTCTATTCTGGCTTCATTTCCTTCCTTATGGACTGACTTGCAAGATTAATACACTCGTGGCTGTACCTTCAACCACCTCTCTCCTTGTCTATTCAAAAACTTTATCTTGCCTAATGTTCAACTTTTGATTAATGAATGATTCAAAGCCTTTATCGTGATACCTGATATATAATGTTGACAAAGAAAATTAGTCTTGACAAATTACACATATACAAATTTGTGATTTACAGTATTTTCTGTTAACAGTCCTCCCATAGGTTCCTTTTAAGGTTTCCTTTGTTATACATAGGGATGAATGTCCCACAACTATATCCTTCTTCACATACTTTTCTACTTTAACACCTGCGTTCATCCTTTTTTTTAACTTAAAGACCTTACATTCTGTTTCACAGAGAAAACAGACCCAGAAGCAAATTTCCCCTATTTTTCTACCCTCTTCTTCCAAAAGTATCTACAATTATAATTCTCCTCTTTTGGCTTCAAGCACACTATCATACTGTATTTTATTCTGTGAGCATCTCTTACTACCTTTCAACTGCCTTTCCAGCTAAAGGTATATACACACATATACACACACAAAACATGAGTGCACACATCTACATGGTACATGTATGTATACATGTATACTCAGGATTCTGTCCTTGGTTCAATTTATGTCATTCAGTTTACACTTTCTCCTCAGGGAAATCCATTCACCCCAAATGTTTCAACTGCCTTTTTTTTTTTAAGATTTATTTATGCATAACTGGGGTACAGAGGTGCAAGGGGCAGTGAGAGGATTCACCAGAGACAGAGTGGGGAGCAGAACAGGCAGATGCACGAAGTATACTGCTGAGGGGAGCAGTGGGCGGGTCAGGAGAGGTCTGCCGTGCCATGAGGATCACCTCCAGGGTGAGTGGGGATTGAATCATGCGGAAGTGGCTTTAGCTTCTTAGTGCTGTGCTTTAACCCACTGAACCACCAGGGAGGGCCTCAACTGCTGCTTTTATGTTACAAAATTGAAAACTATGTCTCCAGTTTCTAATTTTTTCTATGATGCTGATCCAGGGTTCCAACCACTTTTAAGATATCTTCTGAGTGTCCTAAAGGAATCTCAAACTTCATGATTGAAAGCTTTATCTTCTTACCACTTCAAATAAGTTTCCTTTATGAATTCTCTAACTTAATTCTGGTCTAGAAATCTGTCATTGCTTACAATTCATACTCCCATATTGATTGCCATTCCCCATCTATCACCAATTATTGATTATGCTTCAGAATGTCTATCTAGTGTATACCTTTTTACCCTGTCCTACAGCTCAGGCTCTTTCCACAGTCTGTCCTGCATTACTAGAATTGCTATTCACAGCTCTCTGACTACATCAGTTCATTTTTTTAACAAGTTTTCTGGGAATATCCTTGGGCAAAGAGCCAATATACTAAACACACATGCACACAAAATCTTTTAGACTCTTGATTTTATAGAGAATAAAGTCTAATCCCCCTGCAAAGGCAAAAACCATGCTTCAGTATAGTACCTCAGCCTCTATTCCTATTATTCCAGTCTATACGTGTCTGTTATTCCAATCATAAGACATTTCTTATTTCCTGATCTTCCAATCTCTATAATATTAGGCATGTTGAGCTACCTGGTGACACAAAGGGTTAAGTTTTGGCACTATGAAGCTAACCACAGCCACTGCAGCATAAGTTCAACTTCTAACCAGGGAGCTAGCCCACATGGTACAGCAGATCTGTTTTATCTTGCCCACTACTCCCCTAGCAGTATATGTCAGTAGATATGCCTATACTGCTCCCCACTGTCTCTGGTGAACCCTCTGACGCCCTCCACCCCACACTTCTGGCCTGTACCCCAGCATATGTATACATAAATAACTAAATATTAGGAAAAAAAAAAAAAGGAGGGGGATACTATCACCTCTATTTGAATGTCATCTTGCTTACTAAGTCAACTCCTACTCATAATACAAAACCTAAATCAGTTTTTTTTTTTAAATTGATTTATTTATGCATACAGAACTGGGGTACAAGCTAGAGGTGCAGGGTCAATGAGAAGCTTCATTAGAGCCAGTGAGAAGCAAAACAGGCAGGTCAATGAGGTACATACACTGCTAAGGGGAGCAGCAGGTGGTTCAGGAGAGGTCTGCCAACCATGATTACCTCCGGAGCCAGGGATTGAACTCGCTGAAGCAGCTACTACTGCTAGCTTGCAGTGCGCCACCAGGAAGTACCCTAAATCAGTTTGTTTTTTGGAAATCTTTGCCAATAACTCAATGCAAAGTTTCCTTGGGCTCTAAAAGGAATTTTAATTATAGCACTAATCACAACATATTGTACCTTTGCTAACACGTATCAATTTGGTGAAACTGGCTACTTGAGAGCAAGCAGGAATTACTCATATATTCATATTTGTTCTTTAAATAATTGTTGACACACAGCTGTAGGAACTACAAAATACTGATAGTTAATAGACCAGAGGCATTTTCTTTATCACATAGAATTAAATAAGATGAAATGAATCACTTAAACTTTATTTTTTCCCTAAACTACTTCAACCAAGTTTTAAATTCAAGATATTTCTAAAAACTGTTCTGTCAAAATTTAATATGAAGCTAATATAGAGAAAACGCTAAAAAGGTACCTTGGCAAGGGTGTAAATTCACTGATTATTCCCTCTGCTCCAAGTGTAATTCCTTGGACAATAAATGTACTTCCCATTCCTTTCCAAAGGGCTCTTGGTCCCTACAATAGACAAAATTTATTGTTATGTTTGTTAATGCTTAAATAAGAAACACAAGGAAGTCCTTAAATAAAATGTGACATTGAATGTGCACTGATGTTTTTCAATGGGCATTTCTGTAAAGGCCAATTAATAGAAAAATTACAACTAAATTATTCCTACCACTACTTTAGTTTGTCAGGTGGCCAACATTAAGGTCAAGATGAACACCCCAATTACTGAGCTACACCTAACATTGATTAGAGACCATTAATATTTAATAACATTTTAGCAAAGGTATAAATTCACTGATTTAGTAACATCAAAAAGATGTCATTACCATGTATCAGTTTTAGTACGAGTAAAGATATTAAACAAATTAAAAGGAATTATTCATGCTTTAATTATTACTAATTTCAACCAGCACATATCTAATTTATAAAATCTATATTTTTTACCTGTGTTTTATTGAAACCGTACATAATATTGATGACTGTAAATGGAGTGAGATGATAATGACGAGCATGGTAATTAACCTGTAAAAAAGATATTTTGTGATTATTTTCTATTATTGCTTTGTGTTTACCTATTATTTTGTTAATCTATAAAGAAGAAATTTTTTTTTCAAAAAACAGCAAAATCATGAGATACAGCATAAACAAAAGTTCAATGCTAAAGTCATCTTACATTACACATTAAAATTACTCTAGAAATTGCTCTAAGTGACCTGTTAGAAGGATAGTACATATGGTTATACGTTATACAAGTAAAATACACAGCAATATCCACTATCAAACAAAACCTGTTTGATACTCAATTGTTTCCTTAAACACTAGAATTATATTCACTGTGGCAAAATGCTCATGATATTTACTACATAGGAACCAGGAAGAATTAAGGAACAGGAGATTCAGCACTACCAATAGCAAGTAATTTATAAACTATAAATTAGTAAATTATCAATCAAATTCAGGAACCAGAACCAGTAACAATTAAATGAAAAATAAACAGAATATCAGATGTGTCACAATCTGATACCTAAGGGTTCTATTTTGTAAAACATTATTTAATGTTACTTATATGCATTTGTTTACATATAATGTAAATGTTTCCATATATAAATCTCTTCACATGTATGTCTGCAATAAGCTGTTTGGGGCACAAACATTGTCCATGCTTTTGAAACAGCTACTTTTCTACACATAATTATGTTTCAGTGGTAAGCATGAACAAATTAATTTTTAGTCATTTACATCTTTTCTAACTCAGTTTTCAAATAAAATAAGCTGTATTACCAAAGCTTTTACCACAGTGTGGTCTACTGATCCCCAAGGGTACTACCAGTCTTTTGGGGGGGGGGTGACAAGGTCAAGATTACTAATCATTTTAAGTATCATTTGCCTTTTTCCTTGTATTTATAATAGTGCAAAGGCAATTGTGGGTTAGTAAAACAAAACTGCTAGCTCTTTATTATGAATCAAGGCAGTGGCACCAAATGTATCTTCATACTTACCATATTTAATCTATCCTACTTACTTATAAATAATTAAGACTTTTTTCCTGAAGAAAGTCCTTGATAAAGCAGTGAAAAATATAAATTTTACAAAATCTTTCCTCATGACCATGCATCATGTAATTTTCTGTGTTTTATGTAAGGAAGAAGCTATCATGGAAAAAAGTACCTGTATCATGGGGTACAGCTTCAATTAGTCACTTCTTTCTTAGAACAGTATTTTTGTTGGAAGAACTAATAGACTAGTTATTCACACTTAGGTCAGACATACTTTAAAAATAAGTGAGCTTGTTTACTGAAAAAAGACAACATTCACTGCCAATAATAAAATTGAGATTATAAGCAAAAATTAAAATTTTGGAAGAACTATCTTTATCATGGGGTATGTTAATACTGAAACACGTTTCCAGTGAGCATAGTCAAAATTTTAATGATGGTGTATGTTTTTCGATATTGTATAATCAAACATCTATCTAAACATTTGGAAGCTCTCGACAACTCAGCAAATCTATTTTTTAAATAATCAATCTAATCAAAATAGTACAAAATAGTGCATAGGTAAAGAAATCTGTTAATGTGGAGAATAAACAGATTTTAATTTAACATTATAAATTTATAAGTTAACAGATGTGGCTTCTGATTTCATATTGCAAATTACCTTTAAGAATTACTAGCTACTGAGTTTGGATATAGTGCAAAAAAGAATACTTTTACAATTATCTGAAAATATGCCAATTTTCAAATATATGTGTTCAAAGTGGTATTTTGATATCTTTCAAAAAAAATGTACTGAGACAGATTCCTGCTCAAGTAGTTATGAAAATCTGGATGTCTCCCATTACACCAGACATTAAGATAGCTATAAAAATGTAAAATGACCATTTTTCATAAAAATGTTTATGTTACTACCTGGAAGGGTTAATGTGTTTAAACAAATTAAAGAAATATGCATTAAAAATTTATCAATTTTTATTTCTGAAATGGTAGATATTGGTAAATAAAACCAATATATATAAAAGTTCTTTGGAGGTCAGTCATTTTTAAGATGTAAAAGATTTCATGACCAAAATATTTGAAAACAGACATATTACAAATTTTGTAATATTTACCACAGGAATAATAATTACAATATTATGAGATCTATATGTCAAATAAGGGTTAGAATTATTGTTTAGACGGTTCATTTACCTGACACTGGCGGCGTAGAACAATGCAAGGATGGGCCAGTACATTTTCTGTAAAAAGACTACAAAAGAATGATTTCTATAGAGATACATATATAATATAGAAAGTTTAATCTACAATATATGCATATAAAATTGTTCTATTATACATTATTTTATACTCTCCATTCTACTGAGGAAAAAAATTAAATTATCTTATACATTTGCAAATTAGCTTACAAGATTAAGTATGAAAGTAACTAAAGTCATATTTGCAAACTGGGAAGCAAGGAAAGCAATATAAACTATTAATATGCATAGTACAAAGAAGAAACTACATCTCCACATCCAAATTTAGGAAACTCCTTTCCTAGGCAATTTAAATGCCCCTTTCTACTCCTTTCATATGTTCTATTAACAGAATTCCTATTAGAAGTGCCATCTATTATTCAGGAATATCTTGGTTTTGATGTACTCTGCACATTAACAGAGATTTTAGTGACTATGTGAATGAGTACTATTTCATGTATCAAGTATTTCTTCTGATAGCTTTTCCCACAAACTAACTACAAATGCAGGCTTAGCACCCATGCAAGTGTGTCTTCACACTCATAGGTATCAATGAACAAATGTTATAAGTATAAAGTGAGGCTAAATAAAAGTAGAGATATTAAGTCTAGCAACAGGAAAAGTTTAAAATAAAAATGTTGTTTCTATTGACATTAACATATTCATGTTTCGCCCTGGTTAAAATATTTAAAACAATGAGTTATCCTGGCATGAAATATGTCTGTGCAATTTCAAAGACTTTGAAACAGTACATTAATGGCCACAAAATCAAGACTGGAGTTACACCATATACAACGGGATCATTAAAAAGAAAAAAATAATGGTGCTCATTAATGCTGACTGTAAAAACAAAACCTAGGTAAATATCAAGGTTGCTGCATATGGTCATAAGGAGAAGATTTAATGCCCTATTACTTCTTTTTGGAGGGAAAGATACTATTTTAGATTTGATTTTATTACACATGTGAAAGTTGTTACAACAGCCTTTCTAAATGACAAAATAAAGTGACTACATGCTATCCTTACTGGAAAAGCAAGTTATGGATTTTAATATTTTTTTTCTTTTAAGGTTTTTAATTTACTTATACATTGAAGAAATGGTGCATAGGCCAGAGGTGTGGCGCTAAGAGGATTCACCAGAGGACATAGTAGGAAGCAGTACAGGCAGATCTATTGAAATACACTGCTAAGGGGAGCAGCAGTAAAGAAAGGAGAGGTCTGCTGCACCATATGTAGGTTAGTTCCCTGGCTGGGGATTGAACTCAGACCACAGTGGTGATGTTACTGAGATTTAATCTCTATACTACCAAGGAGGCCCATTTTTTTTTTAATGATTTATTTATTTATGTATACAGAGCTGGGGTACAGATCAGGGGTGCAGGGGCGGTGAGAGACTTCACCAGAGACAGAGTGGGGAGCAGAACAGGCAGATGAACAAAGTACACTGCTGAGGGGATCAGCAGGTGGGTCAGGAAAGGTCTGTCGCGCCATGTGGGTCACCTCCGGAGCAGAGATAGAACTCATGCTGAAGCGACTTTAGCTTTTTAGTGCTGTGCTTTAACCCGCTGCACAACCTGGGAGGGCCCAGAGGCCCAGATTTTAATGCTTTTTTCCCTACCAAATATTATTCAATATGTAATCTGTTTCGCCAAAGAATCAATCTAAAGGAAGCAATACTAAACAAACCATTTAGTATTAAAAATTACATTAAAGAAAAACTTTCAATAAAAACATAACTAAAAATCTTCAGATAAAACCTTACCTTGCAAGTCCAATACCAAATCCAGCAAATCTATTCAACTGCTCTAAAATGGAAGAAATAAGATTACTCACAACCAATATTTAAGTTTACTTTAGAAACACAAAGTTATTTTATTAACCTGTATATTGAAATTCCAGGTCCCAAAGTCAAATTCTGAGAGTGGTCAGGGAGGTTCCTGAATGAATGAAGGATTCCGTTGAGGCTATGACAAGTTCTACAATATAGAAGTTCTATAGGTACAGCAATTGTTTAGCTACAACTCACTTGCCATGGGACTGAGGGCCCAGTGTTTGTTAGCTTTGATTTTTCTGAAAATAAAATTCTAACTTTTGCATGGCATCATTCAATTAAAAAATATTGGAAACTATTTTTAAAAGCATTACAACATTGCATGGACCAAATCAAACATGTCTACAGGTAGAATCTAACAGCTGCTTACAAACAACTTGGGTCTGACAGATACTAACTTTACCTTACATGTTACACAATTATTCATTTGCTGTTATTGGTAGAGAGCATTTATGTTAAGCCAATAGTGCCAAATAAAATAAAAACTAGTGAAAGAGTACTTGGAATAATCAGAATAGGTAGGTAAAGCTCTCCCATTTCCCCAAGTTTTAAACATTCGACAGCAGCTGCTTAATTAGGTTTCTGTGACAGGCACCAGGTTTGTATGTGCTTTTACTAATGGCATGTCTGTAATTCTATTAGAAAAGTTTACAGCTTTTCTAATGCATGTATCAAAAAATAGAAAAAAACTCTCCTTGACTAAAAAGTTCAAAACCTTAAATTGTGAAACGTCACATTTCTAGGGAACTAGACATTACATTTCAGTTATAATACAAATTTACAAGGGATGGATTTTCTCTCCCTTTTCTTCACCATCTCCTCTTTCTCTGCTCTTTCAAATGAAGCAATGCCCTCACTATTCCCTGGTAGCTAGAAAAAAGCCACATAACATACTTCTGCACAAATGATTTGGCTCACCTTTGCCCTGAAAAATGTACAAACTAAATAGAAGTTTATTTTGCTCAATTAAGATACTTTCCTCCTTTAGTATTCCCTTTTTCACATGTACAGATTATTCCTTAATAATAATAGAAGCTATCACTGATATTTTGGAAGGTTTAAGGAAGGTTGACTGTTTTTCACTGTGTGATGCCTGTTAGACATATGGACACTTTAAAATTCTAAATTTACATGCCACATAACTACTGCAAAAACAACAACACACCCAGATTTTACTAATCATTGAAGCATTTATAAAAAGATAATAAGTCAGATTTACCCCCTAAGAAAGTAACTGTTTAATAACCACATACTCATTTTGAATTACTTAAAAATTCCCAGTACCCTTTGAGCAGGAGTAGGAAAAAAAACTAGATAGAAAAAGATAATTGTATGACACTGAGTAAATCAATGGCCCTCCTCCACATTCTCATTTGTTCACTAGGTGATAGTTAACCCAAATCAAATAAATATTGTACCGCCAAGTTAAAATAAAAAAACATGAGAATAAAACTTAAGACTTGAATGTACTTAAGGTTTAATAATTTAATAAAAGCATTATTCTAAACACCTCAAGAGAAAAAAGGTAGACATTATTTGCATTCACTGAATAAAAATGTTGAGACTATGTAGATCAAGCGACAATTAAATCACTTGTATTCTGACGGTCTACTACTGCCAACGCTCTTGATTCTAAAGTGTTACTTTGAAATTGTGTCACCATTTTTAATTCTTTAGTTCGGCTTTTAGGTCTGGAAAAGGAAGAAATTACAGGTGTAGCTTTGGCGGCCTAGAAAATAAACACACACTCCAAGAAAAAAGAATGAAAAAACATATATTTTAACCCACTATACGCTCCCTACTTATACCTCATTTTAACACTTTAAAAAACCCTATCCACCTTCAAGGAGAGAAAAGTGCGGGCTCACTGTTGAGTCTCTTAGCTCAGATGAGAGGAGGCTTGAGCCCAAGCCTGCTGAGGCTGAAAAACTTTTCTTTCCAAGAGCCGAAGGTACAGTTTATTGAATCAAGGAACTACAACTGCCAGTGAATTAGGTATTGTTCACCCAATTCCCAATAAACAGTAATACAATCTAAGTTCTGGCTTGATCCAGGGCATGAGAGGAAACATGCTCAAATCCTTCGAAATTCCTACCCCTTAGCCCATACTTCAAGGAAGGGGTCTTTTCTGGGAAGTGATCCTGGAGAAACCGCTAGTGTGAGGAAGAGGATAAAGGGCCTCTTCAGGAGCAGAGGACGAAAAGAGGGCAGAGGGTGTGGCGCGCCCGGGCCGAGGGCACCGAGACGGGACCCTCCACCAGCTCGCTTCCGGGGTCTGCAGCCCCTCGCCCCGCTCCACGGCGCCCCCCGCCCCCGCCCACTCCCGACTCGCTCACCGCTGCTCTGCCCCGCCACGCCGCCGCCGCCGCCGGGACAAGGTTCCTCCACCGGGCCCTCAAGCGGGGTGGAGGGAATAGGCACGCTGTAGGGAGGGCTCTTTTCGCCCCAGTGCAGGTTGCGGCTCCCCGGGATATCCGGAGGGGTGGTCACCCAATGGCTGAGGTCTGACGCGGTGCTAAAGGACCTGGCAGGGAAAGCTCCGCCGAAGCCCTGCTCGTCCCGGGCACCACCTCGATAGCCCAGGCCATCGAAGCCGTCCGGGCGCCGCGGATGCATGGCAACCCTTGCAGGATGGGGCCAGCCCCCGTGGAGTTCACCACCGCGGGCACCCCGGCGACCTCCGGCCGTCAGTACAGCCGCTCCTCGGCCGCCACCTCCGCGTCGGGGAAATTCTGACAACCGGAAGTTACGTTTGGACCCGGAAGTTCATGGAGCACGTGACCGTAGCCTCTTCCGGCGGCGTTTAGTGACTCGGTTGCTAGGGGGAAGCGCTAACCACCTAAGGCGGGACCTTAAAAATGCCGCTTTATGGAAAGCGGTGGGGAGATATCTGTGGGGTTAAAGGAACACCATACTCAAGGGATGCGAGGAAGTAATTAGGTAGGAGGTGGAGCATGGATGAGAGGAGGGCACTGGGAGGTTTTTCCTCAAGGGAGACGACGGGCGGGCGGAGATCTTCAGTAACGTCGGCCTCCCCATTGGCCCCACGGCAGGTCGCCTATTTCCTGCTACCTTGCCACAAGCGAAGCGTTACAAATCGAAAATTGTAGCTTTTCCCAACTTTCTGTATACCTTTGCCTTCCCACGTAGCCCATTAGAGGTAAAATCTACTGAGGCCGAATGAATGCAAAAGTACTAGGCAATGCCAGAGCATACTTTGGGAAAGTGAATGAGAATGTCCGGGAAGACGCCTCAGCCACTGCCCCTCCCCCATATAAACTACTCTGTGTAATGTAGGAATTAAGTATTGTTTTGTGAAACCGCAAAACAACTATAAATAGTTTTCTATAGTAGCTTTTCCCTTGATGTATCTACTCAGGATATTTTAATCTCAGCGACATTGTTCAAAATGAGGCCCTCGTTAAAAAAGTAACAGGAGTTATGTAGAGTCCCCCTACTACCTGTTTTCACTAACTCCATGGGCTCTTCGGGCAAAGTTACTTGCCCGAGATATGACCCAGCCTTCCATGGGTTCTTCTTGTGTCTCTTCCCTCTGGTTGCCGAGGATTCCGAGTCCTTTGTAAAGAGAACCCTGACGCGTTGTTCTCAACCTTCCAGATGCGAACCTGTATTTAAAGTAATAATCATTTTACTCTCAAGTAGGTTAACATTCTTAAATCACGTTGTGATGTGGCTTTGCCAAATGTATAAAGTCTCTTCCTTAAGAAGTGTACCTCGTATTACTCAAACAGTACCAATTTACTAGGTATCACCAAATTTGTTCTTTGGCATGGAATTAATTTCTTTTCTTCTCTGGCCCTTAGAAATGATAGTCAGAGATTACATTGGTGCAAGTTTTGTTTATTAAAAAGAGGAGAAAAAGTGACTTGTACATATGCATGTATTATGTGCCCTGTTTTAATATGAAAACAATGGGATCTCACAATTTCATATTCACATCAATAGAAAAAAAAATGAATTACTCAAAGGAAGGCATCTAGGTAGCCACTTGAGGCAAGGAAACGTTTTAAGAGTGACAAGTCAAAAGCCATGTAAGGAAAGCCTGATCAATTTGACAATATTAAATTTTTACATAATAAATAAAAAAGAATAATATTGAAAGGCAAGGAAAAACTGGAAAAAAAATATTTTACCATGGTTTAGATCCTTTTTAACAAGTTTGAACCCCTGCCTGGGAGGTGATCTGCATGGCTCAACAGAGCTCTCCTGTCTCGCCCACTGCTCCCTTCAGCAGTATTCTTTGTCAGTCTGCCCGTTCTGCTCCCCACTCTCTCTGGTGAATCCTCTCACCGCCTCTGCACTTCTAGCCTATACTACAGTTCTGTATGGATAAATAAATCTTAAAAAAATAAATCTTTAAAAAATAATGAAAATAAAAAGTTATCCCTATCATAATTGTAGAAAGGCAAATTTATAACCATTTTAACCTATTAAAACAACTTTGTTTGGAAGGGAAAATGTACATTGTTAAGCAAAGTAAGAAAAAAGTAGCTCTCATTTCGGCATTATATAAAATATGACAACTTTTTGATCGAGGAAAATTTGATGGTATCAAACCCATAAAAATGATTATATCTTTTGATTCCTGGATCATAACCAATGAATATAAGTTATGTTTATGTACATGTTCATCACATTTTTTATAATAGAAAAACTTGTCAAAATGCTAAATATCAACTTCATATGAATATTTAGGAGGAAAAAAAATTTAATGCAGAACTAATATAAGGTCCTCATGACAGTCTAAGTAGCCAGTGAGCAAGGGCTCGCTGAAACCTGAAAGGAGGTAGAGAACTAAATTTTGCAAGACCTTTTAGGTGATAGACAAGAAATTTAGGTTTTCTGAGGAGTCGACTGACTTTATGTTCTTTTAGAAGGATCAACCTGGCTTCAGTATGGGATAAAGGTGGAAGTCTGCCATAATGATTAGGCCATTGCTCTTAATTATTGCACCAGAGAAAAGCAATAGTAGTAATTTGGTTCTGGGTGATGGAGTGAAGTATAATAGCTAAAATCATTATGTTTACAGATTACATTAGAGATTAATATTAAATGACAAATGAAAACACTCATATTAACTTAAATAAACAAATTTTCTTCTTGTGTTTTAGCTAAAGAAAATTTAGAAAAATCAGTAGAATAGATGTATTTATAGAACACAGCAATAAAAATCATTATGGATTACTAAATCTACTCATACCAGTAAATCAGCAGTCTCTAGAGCACTGTCAGATTTCCTATTCTTTATTTCTTCAAAATCTTTCTAAAATAATGCTGAAATAGTCCAGATAGATAGCTCCAAGCTAATTTGAGATACTCAATGCAGAATTTAAAACATGTTATTCTCTGTAGGATTTAAAACAGTGGGCAATATGTATTTTATGAGAATAATAGTATAATGCTTTTATTAGTTAATTTTTGCAGCATAACAAATTACTTCAAAATCTAGCAGTGTAAAACAGCATTTATTTCTCCACCGTTTTATAGTTCAATATTTTGTGAGTAGCTTAGATGACTGGTTCTGGCTCAGGGTCTCTTATGAAATAAACAAGACTAACTTGGTGTTAGTCACTTTTACTTGATTGGACACACTTCCAAGAGAACACATTTGGCCAATTACAGAAAGCATACATCAAACCTCATTGATCCATTGAGGCGTGAACCTGATTGGTCTGTTTTCAATCCTGGCATTGTATTCAAAAGTGAAACCTGGGTTGGAAATCCAGACCTGACCTATCCTTAGGCAATGATTGACTGCAGCTGTCAGGGCCCAGTGCTGGCCCACAAGATACACTGGCTCTGGTTGGGGTGGGCAGGAGTAGCCCACAAGCTGTGCTCAGGCCTCCAAGGCCCAAGACTTTCCCTGGGGCCACAGAGCCTCTGTTTCATTTCAAAATGGTATGTTTTTTATGCTTATGATTCAATTTTATGATTCACTGTTGAGGTCAAGACTTTTTTACTCTGGAAAAATCAATCCAGAAAATCTGATCTAGAAAACGAATTGCGGCCCTTCCTGGTGGCGCAGCTGGTTAAAGCACTGCACTGAGAAGCTAAAGCCACTTCCACATGAGTTCGATTCCCACCTGTCGCAGAGGTGACCACATGGCGTGGCAG